TAGCATCAAGGGTCCATCGCGGTAAAATATACTGATTCGGCAGTTCTTGAACATGCTTCTTCTTCATCACATATAAGCTATGCTTGCATAAAATTCCATTTGTCTCATACATAGAACACGAACATGTGATACTAACTTGATTTAAAGAACGAAAGGTAACAATACGCCAATATTTATTATCAACATCCAATTGCCCAACTCTATATGTGCTTTCTTCTTTAGTTTTTGTTATGGTCTCGTGAGTCAAATTGGTAATAGCTTCGGTCCATTCTTTTTTGAAAGTATCAAACATCTTTCTAGTATAAAATTGACCTGCTTTTGCTTCGATTGGATGCACTGAAGAAAGAACTGGTCTCAAGTTCATAGTCTTGAAGTCTTCATCTTCTTCGGCAGCCCTTCGTGACTCAACTGCTTTGTCGTATTGTACAACGAATTCATTTAACATGGTCCTCGAATTAACAAATCCATCAAAAAATGAATTGATACTCTCACTTCGTCCGGTTGTGGTCATACCAGCAAAGAAAATATCCTTTAAGAAGGGTTTAGCCCAATGTATACGTTGGTTATACATGTCACTAAGCCAACAATTGCTTTCCACTTCATACTTAGTACGCATATCTTCCCATGTTGCTTCAAATTGTTCAACGGTGTCACTATTTACCCATTGTCTGTATGTCTCTTGAAAATCACTGTAACGGGAAACATATGATCGAAGATGCTCAGTTTCATGCTTCCTAATATGCCATGAACAAAAGCGATGTCGAGTATTTGGAAACACTTTTCTTATTGCATTGCCCATAGCTTTATCTTGATCGGTAATAATTGCCTTCGGATACTTACCAAACATACATTTGAGGAAATGTTCAAATAACCATTCAAATGTGTCTTCCTTTTCATTTTCAAGCAATGCACCACCAAAAAGTATTGACTGCCCATGATGATTCACCCCAGTAAAGGGAGCAAAAGGCATCTTGAATTTGTTAGTCATATAAGTGACATCAAACACAACAACATCTCTGAATTTTGTATAGGCATCTCTTGATCTACCATCAGCCCAAAAGATATTTCTAGGATACCCATCATCAGATAAATCCACGACAAAATATTGGTCACTGTCAACTAATATTTTATCTTGAAAATGTTTTATAAGTCCATAAAACTCCTTTCCTCTATGCTGTTTTCGATGCTCAGATAAAACATCAGCACATTGCTTTGAAGTTACATCAGGTACATTTGAGGTTTTCAGTGTATTAACAGCCTTTTTAATCTGAGAAGGTTTTAACCCTGCTTGACCAAATTGCACCATAAGAGATTTACCTTCTATTGAACGGTGGAAATTGCTATGAGATCGATGCTTCATCACCTTCGTAGGTGTCATGGTCAAGTCGTGATTATGTGTGTCATTAAACGAGTCCACCAACCATTTTCCATCTTCCTGTCTTGTTATTCGAAGCTTAGCTTGACATCCGGTTCTAACATCTCTACGACGTTTTTTCTCATTTTCACTTGAATCATTTTTGTCCATCCGTTTGAAACCTTCTTTGTTGCATACATATATCTTTCGAAAAGGCTCATTTGTTTTAGGATTTTTAATTGTGTCATCTCTACGTATACCAAAGCCATGCAAAAATGAATAATCATAATAAAATGTATAGGCATCATCGGGTGTATCAAAAACCTTTCCCAATATCCTTTCATCATCAACATCATCTTCGTCAATTTCAATGTTCACACCGAAATCGTTAAGTTCTTCAGATTCATATGTTGCTTCCATGGAATAGTTTGTGTCAACATTTTCATTTATATACGGTTCTATAGCCTGATCAGCTGCTTCGGTTTCAAACACCATGGCCTGCATAAAACCACAAGTAAAAGACAATAAGAACTTGACCATATTAATGTCATGCCAATAAATTTTTAGAGATGGCCTAACTTTTTCATTATATCAAAAGTAATAAATTCAACTAAAATAATAAGGACTTTTCTATTTAAAAAATAAAAGTTGACATTAAACCATAAATTGGGCCAAAATATTGGGACTTTATCGGAGATTTTCCTTAAAGAAATACAAAAAAACATGAGTATCATTTGGTAATATATTTGTGGGAACTGCAGACTTTCATTTATGGTATATTACGTCATTGTAGCAACAATAGATCGACAAAGGGATCATGTCATAGTTGGTATATTATGAGTGTATAATTCTATACATACTGTTGACTTGATTTTTTTAAAAATATTTTGGAATTTGTGATGTTTTGTTTGGTAAAGCTTTAACTAATTTGTTGCCCCATGAAAAGAAATGACTTTCTCTAGGTATTTTACAATGATAAAATCATCCTTTGTGTTTCAGATTTCCCTCTTTCATCTGAAAGAACAACTTCGAAAACAGCTTTCTGTGTCCCTAATTCAAAATTTGCAAATTTACAAATGACAAAGCAATAGTACAGAAAACAAATACATAATCATATTGCAAATATATTGTTTGTAATACAATAATGATGAACATAATGAACAATGTATCAGTTAGTTGGTGGAAACAATCAACGTATGAGTACTGAAGTGTAAATTAACAACATAGTAGTTGAAAGTGAAATCATTGGTGAATTGTAAAATGTGTTATAGCAGTAACATTGACATTCACCTGTGTTATCCCTTTGAAATCGTTTTTTAAGTCTTCTGTGAATTGAATTCTTCACGATTTCTGTGATTTCCGATTACAATCACTTGTAATTCCGATTTCTTTGAAATATTTTTTATGATCGATGTCAAAAAAAAAAATTCGTTCAAAATCTCAGGAATTGTGAAGCAGAGTCGATCATAGAACAAAAAGAATTGACCATGAAATCGATTTTTAACTTCTAATTCCGATTTCGTTGAAATCTTTTTTGTGATCGATGTCAATTTTTTATTTCGTTCAAAATCCCAGGGATTGTGATGCAGCCGATCATAGAACAAAAAGAAATTGACCAATTGAATTGGATAGTGAATAAGGAAACACGTCTGTAAATTGATTTGTTCTTTTTTATTTTCAGAAAATTAAACCATTTAACAAAACTACGTAGTTTTGATAGTTAGGGTACGTAATCTTATATACCCTTAAGGGTATATTCACTTTTCTCATATATATATATATATATATATATATATATATATATATATATATATATATATATAATTTAAAATTGACATGTTTCTTCAAAATTCATTGTCATTTTAAACAAAATGGTCTACATAGAAAAGTAATCAAACTTTGTTGCATTTTATTAATAAACTAAAAAAAAGATTATATGGCTAAAATATAATTATTTTTTTGTAGTTTGTTTTATCAGTTTAAATTGAATTATTTATTTATTCATCATTTTGTTTGTATATATTTTGAAATTTTACTATAAAAAATACTTATTGTTTATACTTTGATATTTAACGTTTTCTTTTAAAAAAATACTTAATATATATATATATATATATATATATATATACACACTATGATTTGGCCTATTTTTTTACCGGCGTGTTCTATATTGTCGGGGCTACATTCCAAGATAAAAAAAACTAGTTATTTTGACTCTATCGAGTCCTAATTTTGTAGTCTCAATTTTCAACTATCAACTACTGCTAACAACTTATTGGTATTCAATTAACAAATTTTCCTAGAACAATATAACTTTTTACAGTATTATTTTACCAATATATATTCAAGTGTTATTATCATAAGACCAACTCTTTTTAAACGATAACTACACCTAGTTTACCATTATGAATCATCAAAATGGAGTGTTACAATAATCTTCCAATAAGATTATCAAAATCAAGTGTTCTTGATAATTTGGAGAAAACTGATAAAAAGATTGAAATCGAGAATGAAATGAGAAGGTTGTTTGCAATTTAGTTTTTTTTTTTTTGAAACAAAAATGTAATCTACTCTTATTCTACACTTAAAATCCACGTGTGTCCCAAATGAGACTTAAACCTTCGACTCATGGAGGAAAGACAATTCACCGCTAGACCAAATGTTTCAATTGGGTTAAGGCTATCAAGTATGGTAAGGCGTGAAGATGGTGTCGCCTCATTTCACAACACAATTACAGCCCAAGGGGCGGTGGTCATGCGGAGAGAGAGAGAGAGAGAGAGAGAGAGAGAGAGAGAAGAGAAAGAAGAATAAGAATAAGGGCCTCCGTGAAGACTCGTGAAGTCACCTACTCCACAAGACGACTACAGAATAATGGGGTAGTGTTCACGTACGCGTGGAATCATTTCCACACCATATAGCCTAAACGAATGAGTTAGAACATCTCCAACCCATTCCCATTTTCCATTTTCCCCCTATTTTTTCCTTATTTTTCTCCAACCCTCTCCCATTTATTCCTTCATTTTGGGGATATGAATAGTATTACACCAAATATGGTATTATACTATTCATTTTTTCCAAAATAAGGATGAACTTTGCGTTGTCGGTTTTAGTCTCTGTGTTTATATATTTATACATTTCTATTTTATTTTTACCTACTAATTGTAATTTAAATGTAATATTTAATACTTATAATATTTTGTTATATATTAAATTATATTAATTAATTATAAATATAAAGTTTGTTTTTTTGTTCATCAAATTCATATAAAAAGTTAAACACATATAGAAATTTTAAAAAACGATAACATATTTTACAAAAATGTATAAGTGTGTTATAAATATAACCATTTATTTAATATTATTTTTGTTAAAACTAAATTAGTAGAAGATGTGTGTTTGATAATGTATGTAAGTTGGAAGAATGAAATATATTAGGAATAATGGGGATAAAAAATAGGATAAAAAATGAATAGGGTTGAAAATAAAATACTATTTACCTATTTTTTTTACTTATTTTTAGAAGAAAAAAAAAATAGAAATAGGTTGAAAATAATCTTTAGTGAAAAATGGTGGACCTTATTTATTTTTTAATATAAAAATAAAATTTTATATAAAATAGTACTAGAAATGATAATATAAAGAATGACGATGGAAATATGAAAATATGGTAGCATTCCAAAATGCAAACATATTTCTCTCTCTTGCCCAGTGAACACATGACTAAAGTGCGCCATCCACCATGAAAGAAATCAAGAGGGAGAAAGAGAAAAAAAGCAATAAAGCAAACTAAATAGTCATATGTTGTCATCGTCATAGCACCAGTTGCCCCCTTCTGCATTCCAGACCCACCTTTATGCAGTCTCAGACCAACCCTGTTAAAGGCAAATTCACTGGAATCCCCCATTTTTACACCTTCATAATTCTCTCTCCCACCCTCTCAAAAACCTACAACAACGACAGCAAACAAATCCGGAAGTAGGCGAAGGAAGTTTCAGAAGTTCGGTTTTCTTACAGCTGTTCGTCTCAGATCTGGTGGTGAGTATCTGCATTTTGATCGATTTTTCTCGCATTGTTTCGATTTTTGCTGATTTTGTTTGATTTTAAGCAATTTTTATTTGGTGAAAAATGAAATGAAATTCGTGTTTCCAAAATTATGATCCGATACTAATGTTGCATTTTGTTGAGTTTTATGATATTTTATCCTCTGTGTTGTTTTTGTTTCGTTGTTGATTTGATTCCATTTTTCATTTTATGATGTGATGCTTTGGATTCCTGGAACTTTTCCTATTTAAAGTTGAAATTTGGTACTCTACGATATCGCCATTGATATTGACTCTAAAGGTTTTTCTACTGATTAAAATGAAAATAGTTGCAAAAAAGAATTATATTACTCTAATTCTGGGGTTAATTTCTCGCAGAATTAGACAATGTTCTTCATTCAACCATCTCCTTTAGATGTGAGATTACTAGTTCACCATTTTTCGTGAAAAAAAAAACGATTTGCAGAGTATAAAGGGCTGATTACCAATTCTACACATAGATGAATGATAACCCTAATTATTACTTATCTTATTCTTCCCTTTTTCTTGATAAATTGCATCATTCTTTCTTCCTTTTTTATTTTAACAGATCTGTGATACCAAAGAAAGCTCTGATTTAATGATGTACAATAACCAGAAATGAAAAGGGTTCATGATTCACAGAAGCTTCCCCTTTCAAGGCCGATGCCTGATAATATTCTCAAACTCCCAAATTCACACTTCAATTTGCTGAAAGAAGACATGAATCATATAAAGCCACCAACTTTTCAAGATTCCAACAGACGGAAAGAGAAGAACTCATTACACGACGATGAAGAAGATCTGATGGTAGATATAAACATGTTGAAAGAACCCGATGATTCTTATGATGAAATCGGCTCCACCTCTTTCTCAGGTGCTAGCCACCCCCCTGAACCCATTGACACGGATCTAATGCGACCCGTTTGTGTCCCAATCAATCAAAACAAACCCATAAAACTTGGTGGGCCCTTTTTAGAAGATCTTTCACTTCGCGAAAACTTAACACCAACACCAACACCATCTTCGCCATTTTCCATCTCACGCCACTCACAAAACCCCGAAAACTCTCCAATTTCAGACGAAAAAGAGTGCGTTTGGGACGCCTCTTTGCCCCCGAGTGGAAATGTTAGCCCACATAGTAGCATTGATAGTACGGGAGTCGTAACATCCATGAGCACAAGTACATACCGAATGAGCGACGGAATGCTAAGCATCGAACGAAATTTCGGAAATACCAAAACTACCCTTCGTGGGGAGTGTTTAGAAAGTGGGAAAACGAGTATTAGTCGAGCTAGTGATAGTAGTGGGCTTAGTGACGATAGTAATTGGAGTAACTTCACGGGAAGTACAAACAAGCCTCATAAAGGGAATGATCCGAGGTGGAAGGCAATTCTTGCAATTAGGTCAAGAGATGGGCTTTTGGGTATGAGTCATTTTAGGTTGCTTAGATTGTTAGGTTGTGGTGATATTGGGAGCGTGTATCAATCCGAGTTGAGTGGGACCCGTTGCTATTTTGCAATGAAAGTGATGGATAAAGCATCACTCGCTAGTAGAAAGAAACTTTCTAGGGCTCAAACCGAAAGAGATATTCTACAATTGCTTGATCATCCGTTTTTGCCGACTTTATATACTCATTTTGAAACGGATAGATTCTCGTGTTTGGTTATGGAGTATTGTCCCGGTGGTGATTTGCATACGTTGAGACAACGACAACCCGGAAAACATTTCTCCGAATACGCCGCAAGGTATTTTTTTATATTTTTATTTTTTTACAGACAGTCAAGGGTTCAAGTCTAAGCAGCTGCAATATCATAGTTTCAATTCCAATGAGTTTTTCCGTCATATGAAATGACATGACAAGAAACTGTCTATCTGATTTACATCTCACATGACATGACTACAAGACTTGTCAGCCAGACCATTGTATACCTGATTTACATTTTTACATTGACATTATTTTTTTTGTAGGTTTTATGCGGCGGAGGTGTTACTAGGGCTCGAGTATCTCCACATGCTTGGAGTTGTATACCGCGATTTAAAACCCGAAAATGTTTTAGTACGCGAAGATGGTCACATAATGTTATCCGATTTTGACCTTTCTTTAAGATGCACCGTATCCCCAATCCTAATAAAATCATCTTCACTAGAATCCGACCCATCAAAACGACCCGCGAACCCGTTTTGTGTCCAACCCGCGTGCATTGAGCCGACATCCGTATGCATCCAACCCGCGTGCTTCCTCCCCCGTTTCTTCCCTCAAAAAAACAAAAAACGAACCCCAAAACCACGATCCGACCCGACCCCACTCTTCGGTCACCTGCCCGAGCTCGTGGCGGAGCCGACTGCTGCCCGGTCCATGTCGTTCGTCGGGACCCACGAATACTTAGCGCCCGAAATCATCAAAGGTGAAGGACACGGAAGCGCGGTTGATTGGTGGACATTTGGAATCTTTTTACACGAACTTTTATACGGGCGGACCCCGTTTAAGGGTGCGGGCAACCGGGCAACTTTGTTCAATGTTGTCGGGCAGCAGCTCAGGTTCCCGGACTCACCGGCTACAAGCTACGCGAGCAGGGATTTGATTAGAGGGTTGTTGGTTAAGGAACCGCAACACCGGTTAGGTGTGAAACGAGGGGCTACCGAGATTAAACAGCATCCGTTTTTTGAAGGTGTGAATTGGGCTTTGATTCGGTGTAGTACACCGCCCGAAGTGCCCAGACCGGTTGAGCCCGAGAGTCCCGGGAAGTTCGGGCAGGTTGAACCGGTCGGGCCGGGCGGGTTGGGTAACAATAGTAAAAGAATGGTTGGGACTGGTGTTAAGCCTGGAGGTAAATATCTTGATTTCGAGTTCTTTTAGGTGGGACCCGTCTGGTCAAACCCGGTCAACACCTGACCGGAAAATCCCGGTCAGGACACCTATACGTTTAGCCACTTCATGTTTAGAATTGTGTTGTAATAACTTGACTTTATTCAAACTCATTGTGCAATCTATTGTCTTAATCATTTAGATATTTTATTTTATTTACCAATATTGATAGTGAATAGTGAGTAAAGTAGGTTGTTATTTTATTTTATTTTTTTTTTTTTTTGCAATTTGTGTTATATTTTTGTGGGTCCCATTTTTAATGATGGCAAGTTATGATGGAAGTGACCATGAAAGATTGTTGGTGAGATTTTGGAGGCTGAATCTTTTGTTTATTGTTTGTTGCATAATTGGATATCAGTCACTATGATGTCATAATTTCTTACTTTATATTGGACAATATATGAAATCAAATATATATATATATATATATATATATATATATATATATATATATATATATGTTGTGGTTGTAAATCTTTTTGATGTGACAGTATATAAGAAAAAAAAACAGTTTACTTGTTTTACACAAGATTGTGCACACCAATGACAAAAACGTGTCTTTTTTTTTTTAGTATTTTAGTTATTATTTTTACATATCTTTTTATGTAGTTTCAAAAGTGTCTTATGTCATTTGGTTTAGAACACTTTGATTTTCTTGAATGGTTTTTTATCATATTAGGCTTAAGGTGTATTATCATTACCTCTCATTTTTTGTTATCTTATTGTTATGTTATTTTTTTTCACCTTCTCACTTTTTTTTTTCATCTTATCGTATCTTATTGTTATAACTTTTTAATGACGCAACCAAGACAAATTAAAAATATCTTTTTTACTTTATAATAATGTTATCCTTTAAAAGTTGATTGATTTGTTGTAATGGTTAAAATTATTTCCTTTCCCGAACTTACCATATTGACAACTATAATAAAAATAAGTCAATAACTGCTCATTTCGGATTGATCTTTTTTCCTACGAAGTTGCTTTAAATGTTTCTCATTATAAAAATCATATGGATTTTTATTTTCTTCGGAAAAAACCTTTTTATGTTGCGAAATTATAGTTGGCACTCTTTGTAAAACAATATTGCAAAGTTTTTGCCGAATTAACTTTTTATAATTTTTTTTACATCTTTGTTAGACTTTTTTTTTTTTTTTTTTAATTTTCTGTTTTTAGAGCTTATCTTTTTGTTATATAGTCTTTTTTTTACATATTCATTTTTTTGTGATTGTAAAGACTGAGACATACTGAATTTTTATATATTAGTATTCACAAACCAACAATATATATATATATATATATATATATATATATATATATATATATATATATATATATATATATATATATATAAATTTTTCACAAGATGCATTACGTGCATCCTCTAATTGCTATTATTTTCATGATAAAAACACTTTCCACTTTAATTATTTTAGCGTGGGACCTTAATATGTTGAAAAATGAATGTGGAAGGATGGGTGGATTAGGATAAGGAGTCATAAGAAATAATTACGGATTGTACAGATTAAAACAAAATAAAAAAGACTTTTTGATCATTACAAATTGTTCCTTCTCTTCTTTAATAATAATAATAATAATAATAATAATAATAATAATAAAACTCAATGAATACCACTTCTTTCTTCCTTGTTCACCATCTATCTAAAAAGAACTAAAAAAAAAACATTAATAACTTTTTTTTTTATCTTATTAACAAAAAATGGGCCCACTATAAAAGTTGTAAATACTTTTATAAACAATAGAATTTTGAACTATCAAAACACTAATACATTTAAAATTCAAAAATATATACTGTTTGACAAATTAATTGATAAAGATTGATGTTTGATAATTTTATCTGATAAACTAATTGGAAAATATCAAGTGATAAAAAGATATGCAGAAAAATAATTTGATATTATAAGACAAATCATTAAATTAGAATAAATACTAAATAAAGTTTTCCAATGAAAATTCTTGAATCAATATTGGTAATATTATCACAAATATCTCACATTTTATTGCATGACTCTAGAATATTATCATCTTTTTTTTTAACTGAAAATAATTAGTTTTTCTCCTCTCCCTGGAGATTAAACCCGAGACTTTTTAGTTAGTTGTTATTTTTAACACATTCTTGTTAGTCAAGTGGGCTAGCCCCAACTTATAAATATTATCATCTAATTCATATGTTTGTATGTAATCATTGTATTGTTGAACAATATTGAAATCTATATATGTTAAGTCACTCCTCCGAATATAGTTATGAAGGATAAATATTGTTGTTATCATATCTATATGAGTCCTTCATATCTATATGTCTTCTTACCAACAAACATTTGATACAATTTTGAATATATAAATGTAGATATGATTGGAAACCTCTCGGGCATCGATTTGTGAACATATAAAAAAATTGCAATGGTAAACACAAATACCACTAATATTTATCGATGTTTAAACTTTGTTTGAGATATATTTTATATATTCAACACAGAGTAAATTATTAAAATCGTCCTTTGGTCAAAATTACACGTTTGATCCCTAACCTTTTTTTTTGCACTCGGATCATCCCGGTGGTTTGATTTTGTTATGTTTTTCGTCCCTATGGTTTGGTCAAAATTGCACATTTGGTCCCTAATTTTATGTATGTAAGGGACGAAAAACGTAACAAAATCAAACCATAGGGACCATCCGAGTGCAAAAAAAATGTTAGGGACCAAACGTGCAATTTTGGCCAAACCATAGGGACGATTTTAGTAATTTACTCTTCAACAAATAATAATTTTTGTTACTTATCTCTTAGTTTGTTAACCAAACTTTAAACGAAAACCTTGCATACATAAACATAATTTGTCATCAAAATTTAATAAAATATGATCGACTCAAAATAATTTATAATAAACGATATTTTTGTTATTATAGAAATAACATAAGATAATTTCTCATATTTATGAAAATTTTAAAAATATTGATATTATTAAAAATCATATAAATTTATATTATTTTATTACATCGAATATAAAAGAAATATACCTATCAATACATAAAACTATATCTAAGAGAATACATTACATTCTTGAAAAATGTTTCATTTCATTACACATGATAGGAATAAACATTGAAAATAAATAAATGGTATGTTTAAAAGATTTTTTTATAAACTATTTGAAATGCTAGCCTAAATAACTTTAAAAAAAAAAAAAAGAAAAAAAGATAACTGATAAACTACATTTTGATTTGCAAAACATGACAAAAAATAAAATAAAATAAAAAACCTTGAAAACAAGCTACATAATTGCTTAGACTATAATTACTTAGACTATGCTTGATGTAAAAAATTAACTGATAAAAATGACATTTTATAAAACCTAACTGGTAAATTAGCTGAAATATGTTAAATGACATTTTGAAGAATATGTTTTTTGATAATTATTTAAGGATAATTATTCAAGGGTATATTTAAAAAAGTTGCTTTTTGAATTTCTTTTTGGACAAAAATACTTATCGACTTATGGTGGTAACAAAAACAGTTTTTAAAAAAAATGTTTGAATTATCTTTTATGGTGTAAAGACAATAAGTCAATAACTTAAAAAGCATTTGGCTTAAAATCTCATTTTTAAAGCTATTTTGGTGTAAAAGCTAAAACAAGTTTTACATGTTTTTTAAAATCTTCTTTTTGAAGTTAATAGAAAAACTATTTTGAAAAATGTTTGAGTTTGTTAAACATTTTTTCTTTTACGTATTGACGTTTCAAAAAGCCAATAAATCAGTAATTTGTTTTGGAAAGCAAATCCCAAACACCCCATAAAAAACTAGTTTACAAACTACTTTTTTACTTACCAAACATAGCAACTTAAAAAAAATAAACTAACTGTAACACACCAAACATAACCGTACTATTATAAGTAGCTGTAACATGTTGAATATAACCACAAACACCTGTGTCATTGCTAATTTTAGCATTGGTAATTGATAAGATTCGAGAAAATGAAAACAAAGAATGAGAGGGATGGATGTTTTTATTTCAATTCCAAATCAGAGAAGCTCCAAAATGAGTCTTCCTGCCCAAGCTCTCAGAGTCGATTACAATACTAGAATGGAAAAAGATGATATCACTATTACATCCTCATGACCTATAAAGATCTCCTCCCTCTAACAGAATTCTCAACAGAACAATCACTCCCCACCACGTGGCTTAGGCCTCCTTCTATAGACTTTCCATGAATTAAACCCGTTGGGCTTCTCCAAATTTGTGGGCTCATTATCATGTTCTTTATCAATACTCACTTCTTTAAGATAAAGCTTGTCCTCAAGCTTAAAGGTGGGAAATTGAGTATTGATTATGATCGCATCTTCCCAGGTCGAGTCTTCGTTCAAGTCTGAGGTCCACTGAATAAGCCATTGTTCCACCTGCATTCCATCTCTTGTAATCACACGCGTGGCCAAGCATTTCTCAGGAATTCTTTCAGTTTCAGAGTCACTAATTAATCCTGGTGGGAGATTAGATTCCACTGTAGCATTTCCCACAACCTTTTTGAGTAAGGAAACATGAAACACTGGGTGGATCCGAGCTGATTCTGGAAGCTGCAATTTATAAGCTAGTGGTCCAACACGATCTGTGATCAAGAAAGGTCCATAAAATCGAGCCGACAATTTCTGGTTGATCCTCCTTATGACGGATTGCTGCTTATGGGGTCGTAGCTTAAGAAACACCCATTCTCCAACCTGGAATTCAATGTCTCGACGATGCTTATATGCGGTGGACTTCATTTGGGATTGAGCTCGTAACAGGTGGTATTTCAGTTGCTTAAGAGCTTCATCTCGGTCTTGCAATTCCTGTTGTACAGCTTCACACTTGATCTCATCAGGAGCATATCGGAAAATAGTGGGAGGAGGGCGCCCATAAACAATCTCAAACGGTGTGGTGTTGGTGGAAGAGTGATAGGTTGTGTTATGCCAGAATTCAGCCCATGGAATCCAGTATGACCATGTTTTTGGTTGGTCAGTTGCAAAGCATTGCAGATAAGTTTATAGGCTTCTATTTACCACTTCCGTCTGCCCATCTGTTTCGGGGTGGTAAGCAGAGCTGAACTTCAGTTCACTTACTTGTATTTTGAAGATTTCCTGCCAGAATTT